TTAGCTGTAGGCGTAGCCGTCGTATGTTTTCTTAAGACGGTGGTTCGTCGCTATACTACATACTCAATTTCCACATGGGAAAAGGCGCCGACATGTTATAGCCCCCAATCGTCGTCGCTCTCGTCGTCATCCAATGACTACGAAAAATACAGCCTAGCTAGGCTAGGTTCTGCGTGCCAAGCTATCCCATAGTGAAGTCTCTTCAACACACATAGCAACTGCTACATACCTAGTTATATAAAGTCACATAACGATTGGGCAACTATGGGGTGTGGGTGTGGAGTTTGGCTTTCAGGTCGCAGAGTGGGCCTGTCTTCCTCGTGACTATGTTGCAGTGTGGGATTCCCTCTTGGTGAGGAAACAAGGGTGGCACAGTCGCTGCGGTTAGGGCTGTTTCGATGTTAACGATCCGGGGGGAGGGATTAGCCCGCGCGGCCGGAAGTTGAACGGTAAGACTCCGGCCGCTGCAGTCAGCAACGCGTATCGATATCCGTTAAGTGGCACAACAGAAGCCACGGACTAGGAGATGCGATACGGTCGTCGTACGGAACCAACCGCGTACGAATACTCGGGGTTCGAGTGGACGAGGGGCGTGACGAGAGGTGGCTGTTGGAAATCGGAAGGATTTGGTTATGCAGGCGTCGTGAGGGGAGCGGTCAACCCGGGAATGCCCACTCGGGAGAATCGTTTAAGGATCTGTATTCCTGTGATGAACCGCCAGAATCAGATTGTCGAATAGCCGGGTATCAAAGTTGATGCTTCAGGACGATGTATCGGCAATGAGAAGCATGTGGAGTTGGGGGTCAGATGCATCAGGTGTTACGATCTTTTGCTCGAGAGACCCCGCTTACTTCGCTATCATCGTCGGCGAGTACATGTAATATTAGTTTCACCCCGGGTTACCGGCCTTGAGCGATTCACGATACTTGGAGGTCACGGCAAGGAGGTTAGCTTGGCGATCGAGCCCCCGTTTTTCAGTGGTGACAAGGGGACCAACGGGATGGTTACTTCATAGCCAGCAAGACTCTCAATCTGTAAGTCGTCTTCTATTCCCGTCAAACTGCTTGTCGCAAGCGGTCTTGCGGCGTACTAGGAGAAAGGTAACTAGCAAAGAGATATTAGGTCCGAAAGGCCACCGAGAAGAATTCGACCGAGCCGACCAAGTTGATGTGATGGTAGCCTCGTCGTCTCGGTTGTATTTTCTTGGCCAGGGACCCTCGGTGTGACGAATGACGGCCAAGCAACGCACCTAGTAAGCCCAAACCGATCGTTACCCCCGAGCACACGGTTCCATTGGCTCGGCTAGCATTCTTAGGATCTTGAAAGATCTGACTTTGGGGGCGCACCTGTAGGTTAAGTCCGAATTTTAAAGCACCATGACGAAACTATCTTAAGGAGTAAGCTGCGTTATGTATGTAACATAGCATGTTTGTTTGTATGTTTTCCCTTTATGTAGGTCGGTGGACGTGCCGACAGATGGGCTGCGAGATCACGTTGCAGTACCAATTGTCATTGCAAATATTATGGGGACCAGTCCTGATGTCCTAAAGGGAATGGGAATACTCGGCCGTCCCGAGTTTTGGTAGGTTGCTTCCTTTGGCATGTTGCCTTCACATGTACGGGCAGACTGTGGAGTGGTTCATATTCGTGTAGTATGGTGTAAGGATTGCCGTTGGGGGTTATGTATATGATTTATGATTCAGAATTCAAAAATCAAAAATGACAATGCTTAAGATCAGATCACATATTACATAAACCCTCTTGAGCTTTACGGGTTATACATACCTAGGTGGCTTAAGTTGTGCTACCTTACCCGCCTTATCACCGCTACGCCGTTGGCAAGTCGATCCCAAGTTCGGCGTTAAGGTACGATTATTCCTATTTTAGAGCTACGGGGCGGTAGACATAGTCTTAAAACGGGAACGAGCCGCCATATGTTTGAAGCCGTAAAAGACATGCAGTAAGATCCGCCAGATGGTATGTGATTAACATCCGAAAGCATAAAATATTTATGGAGAGCTGCCTATGCATGTATGTACAAATCAACGTGTTTGATCTGAAACTATAACCGACGGGTGGCTTGCTATCCAGCCATCCCCATTAGGTCATAGGGCTAGGCGCCAGCCCTATCAGCCCCTATGCAACCCAGATTCGGCTCGGCACGACGGTAGAACCAATCATTGTCATAAAAGGGTACGAGGGTACGAGGATACGAAAGACCCGAGATACCTAGGTAAGATTGCTCACATGTAGGTATGTACAGTACTTACATACATAGGCGTACTGATGGTTAATACCTTTGAATAAAAAGAAATACGACAAATACCCCATGTAGTAAATCTGCATATAGCTTAGCCCTGTGAGTTCTACCCCGATGCCTAAAATAACCGGCTTAGTTGATCTAGTTACAGGAACAACGGAAGAAGCCGAATACTCGGATTCGGTTCTCGTGTAACATGAAGTGCGGATCCGGACAGCGGAGAAACCCCCGGGACTTGACGCCCGTCCAAGTAATATCTCGGAATGCCCGCACTGTAGTAACCTGTTGATCAAGGATACATACGGTTGTGAATTGTCTACTTTTTCTACTCATACCACTGGGAGTGGCATTATGCCATACCTGTAAGCGATCTAAGAACTGACTTAGGCAGGTTTTATAAAGTGCTGGTTAACAAGGGTAGATCTCGATTTTACGAAGTACGCTCTACGTCCAAAGCTTGGTGTGATGATCTTATAAACCGGCACCGATAACTATCAAGGGAAACCTTTATTTAACGGAGGTAGCTGTATTAGAGTCGTATATGTATGTAGGAGCTTAATAACTTTCTATGCGTAATATTATCGTCATCCACGGTCAGTCAGCTTTGTCGTTATGCAAATTTGAGCAATATGTTAGCAATACGTTTAACTTGCCCTGTTTCCTGTCAAGCTATTCTGCACGATTCCCGTGTTAAGATTAAACCGTATAAGTACATTGGATAGCTCGTAATCAGCAGCCATAGCTAACTGCAGCTCGAGGTATACAGCTTATACTTACTTGGCAGATCCTTGTTCGATGGGGGTGTTAATAACGATAGGGTGGGCGAATTATTTGAACGGATTATATGAAGGATCGGAGGGGGTGTATACTACATATACTACCTTAATCTAGAATGTCAGCGCTAACATGCATCGACATGTTAGACGGCCCCGCGTAAGTGGGCAATAAGCCCGGTTAACTAGCCGAACCGAAGACATTCGCACAGACGAGCATGTTCTCGAGGGTGAAGAAATAACCGAAATAACTAAGAAAAGTAAGACAGACCGTGTAATTAGCCTGGGGTACAGGCTTATACACCGATCTGCGGCATCCGGCAATAGACTTTTGACGTATGTATCTGTCAGTCTGAGTGATGTTATGCAGGGAACTAATCTTTAGTAAGTAACGTAAGTAACCTTACGTACGGGAGGCTGCTTATGTCAGAGTTGCTGCTGTAATCATGGTAAATAGTACCTAACGGTTCGATCTGATGATAGGTCCAGAGATAATTAACACGACGGCTAAGACAAAGCAAAGAATGAAACATATAAGCTGCTTGTCACCCAAGACTCCCTCTCCGGTTACACGAAGACAGCCCGTGGCTGATCGTCGTAATAGATCCGGGCGTCCACGACGTGGTGTCTGAAGATTGATAACGGCCGAGCAATATCGAAATACCCCACCAATTCGTACTACCCATCATAAGGCTGACGCAGAATTGTTCTCTTGTATCATTTACTTAGGAAGAGTCCGAGTATGGCCGAAGTACATCAGTTTGCGAGCCTGGGACCTTGCTGCATGTCGAATACTACCTCTCCTGCAACTCCAGAGCTTCTTGAAGTATCGCGGGCATGTCTAGTCCAGTTGTAGAAACACAGTGAAACCCCCCTTCTCGTCACACGCAGACACACGCAGACTATGCATTGAAGCTGTTCTGGAAGGAGTACTACAGTTCCCCGGATGCAAGTATAGGTAGCTAATGTATCCCTCGTGACCTTGCTGGAAAAGCAATCGGTTGCATCAATGATGCATCGGCTCACCAAAACACGGGAGATGCCTAGTAGGTCAACCCACATTCGGGCATTAGGTATCACGGCGTTTCCACTGCCTCGTCGCTTGGAAGGTATCATCAGACCTGGTGCCGTGCGTTGTCGACGCAGTGTAAGCGCTAATCATCTTGCAGGACTTACAGAGAGCAACGAGGTTGTTGGCTTCAGTGGGGAGATTTCCAATGATTCATGCAGCTTGCACAATGTTCTGCCAACAGTGTAGTGCCAGGTACAGGGGGGAGCGGGAGGATAAGGACTCTTAAGAACTAAGCCTGCGGAACACTTATATTGGACTTTCAACCCGAGTGAAATAACCGGATAGCATTAGACGTCATGTTCAGACCAAATATGTTGTCAGAGAGGTAGTGTCAGCCTTATAAGGCAGATAACCCAACGACTTGTCAGCTTTCCAATAATTTTACCCCATGCTGCTGTAAGCAAGCTATCCGGGCAAGCTAAACGGAACTAGGCAACATAGCATAGCTAATCGACAGGTGTGTCCCTAGGGGCGAAGAATGGGGTGCTTATAGAAAGTAGCATGCTTTGCCGCAGTAGTTTGTTGGCCCAAGATACGACACCCCAGCTTACCACACCGATTGAGCGAATACTCAACTAATATGAACCTTGGAGTACTGGGAACCTTGAAGGTACTTCGATCGAATGTTATATCTAGCTCCGTAGCGACTAGGATATGGATTCAATAAACATAGTTAATAGTTAATAGTTAATATACCGGGCATCGAGAGGTAGCCATTTTAAGAGCTGCTGCTCCTTTGCGTAGCTCATAAAGCCTCCATTGGCTGATATGCCTATGGGCATAGCAAGGACAAGGGCTAGAACCGTTGGTGAGATCTAATAAGCCCAGCTAGTTTCAGTATTTAACTTACTTGCCAAGTTCTTCAACGAAGTTCTCTTTGTAGGTGAAGGTCACCTCACAGTGGGTCTTTAGGGACGGAAGGGAAGTAGTTTGGATTGCTTAGGCGTTCTCGGTTCCTTTTGGCCATCTCAGCTGCGCGTTTTCTGTCCAGCCGTTGTTGGTAGAAGGTTCTGCATGTCATCAGTATCGACAGCCAGTGGTTGAACAGAGGGATAACTAAAGACTTTTGCAATGAAAATACCCGGGGTTCTTCTTCTACTTTTGGTGGAGTCTTCTCATCTGGTTTGTCCTATATCCGTGAGCCAATATGGTTTTAAGGCGCAAATAGGAAACCGACCTTGACTTGAGGGCTTGGCTCATCTTTCTTAGTCTCTTTAGTGTCCTTCTCTTCATTTTCCTTCTTGGACTTTTCCGATTCTTTCTCCTTTTTCTTGCGCTGCTTCTCTTCGTACTCTTTCTTCACCCGTTCAATTTCATCTTCCATCTCCTTTTTCTTCTTAGCTGCGATAGCATCGTGGTCGATGATAGGGGTACAGAATCCCCTATCTTTCAAATGACCAGGACAGACATAAAAGAAGTCCTAGTAGCAGAAAATCAGGGAAAGGTGCTTATAGCGTTATGATAGAACTGCAACCTACCTTGTTGTCTGGGGTTATGAGCACGCTGGTACTAGGCTTGAAGCATACCTCGCATGCTTTGGCTGAGGTTTCAGCTACCTTTCTATGATTCCAAGTATTTGGGAAAGACATCATTATCGCTGCTTCAAAGGGGGATAGATATACAGAGGAAGTATGCAATAGGTAATGTGCAAGGTGATGTACAAGGTGATGTGCAAGGTTGATGATATAACAAAGGAAGCCGAATGCGCGGCGAGATGTTGGCGAGATAACCATATTATGTGGGGCCAGAGAAGTACATGTATCTACATACCTCGCTCATATGGATGTATTGGATGACGGGCTACAAGGTTACAAGGTTACAAGTTACGATAAGTTACGATAAGGTTGGTGCCTGAGCTGTTGACTTTACCGCATTACCTACCTACCTACACTACAGCCTTGTGAAAGTAAGGGAATCTTTTAGGGGGCCCCTGTACGTCATATGCTCGGCAGGTGCCAGTAACAAACTTTAGCGTAAAACAATTCGCCGACTCCAAAAAAAAAACATGAAGTATTACGAACATCAACTTTCTTATTAGACTTTCTTATTAGAGTAAACAAGAGCCTTGCAACCTGTCACTTATTTCGTCTTTCTTAGTTATTGCGCATAGGGGTAATCACCCCAGCCAGTCTTTTTTGACATCATGGCCAATGGATTGGATATCCAGAAGCTGGACTCCGTATTCAAGTCGCGACCAGACATTTTACAAGACATCCACAAGGCTGCCGGTATTCCTTAATCTTTTCGCGTCAAATATTGTCCCTATCTTCTCTAACTAAGTTATATAGATTCTCCATCGCGAGTCCAACTATTCAACAAGATTGCAAATTTCATATATGAACAAACAGGTGACCATACAGCTGGCTCATCCCTAAAGCGGCGTCGCGTCGATATCGAACCCTCCCAAAATGGGAATCTACCACATGCTACAGAGACGAGCGCAGAGACGAGCACAGTCGAAGACATATCAACCGAGAACATCCTATTGGAAATAAAAGATATATCTGTCTCTATCCCGCAGCGCAAGAAGTTCGAATTATGCTTCACGCCCAAACACCTATACGCCCGAATCCCTGGTGCAACCGTGCCTGCGCCTGGAATAACATATGCATGGAAAGATGTCGGCATGTACTATATATTTCACAACAATCCAATATCAATACTAATAATTATACAGAGTATGCTTTCTACCTTCCTGTACCTGAGAAGTCTCAGATTCAGCACAACTACATCTTATTCCCACGAAACGCTTTCTCCCTTTCAAAATCAGGCGCACCGACCGAAGATCCGTTAGTCTTTACCGTCTCAGCTGGTGCACCAAAGCCAGGTTCGATTGGTGGACCTAATGCCGCTGCAGCTTCTGCCGTCTCTGACTCTTATACCACCCTCTTCAACTGGGCCTTGAATAAGTGTCTTCAGGCTGCTGGAAACAATGTGCAAATGGTTGCAGCAGATCCCGCAAAATTTCATAGTAAAGTTCGACAACCACATCGACCGAAGGAGGCAGCGGTTCATGTGAAGGCATTCAGGGGCTCAAAGGATGGTTACCTATTCTTCCTAGAAAATGGGATCTTATGGGGCTTCAAGAAGCCGTTGTTGTTCATACCGTTGGACAAAATTGCAGCTATCAGCTACACAAGCATATTGCAGCGTACATTTAATATGGTAGTTGAGGTGTTCACGGGCGAAAACGGTGACGATACAACCGAAGAGATAGAGTTCTCGATGTTAGACCAGGAGGACTATGGAGGTATCAACCAAGACTATGTCATGCGGCACAGGCTTCAGGATCGAAGCATGGCCGATCAGCGGAAAGCCAAGAGGGAACTGGCAGAAAATGCCAAGGGAAAGAAAGAAGCCGAAGGTGAAGAGGAAGATGCCAATGGACAGGCCGGGGAAGATGGCATGACAGAACTAGAAAGAGCACAGATGGAAGCCGAACAACAACTGCAGGATGAAGAAGATGAAGATGAAGAAGATTACGACCCAGGGTCTGAGGGTGAGAGCGAGGGCTCGGGAACTAGTTCCGAAGAGGATGATGATGACGACGAAGACGCTGCGGAGGACGATGATATGGGGGAAGATGGAGGTTTGGGAGAGGAGGAATAATGTCTTGATACATAATGGTAATAACGAGCAACCGCAGTCTATTATATCAGGAAGGCTTCGGGATAGATGAGCCTAGCAATGCGACGGCTTCAACCCTGGAATATCACGTTTTGGTAGCTACTACGTGGATTAACTGTCGGCAGATCCGTCAAGGCTTTCGTCTATCGGCCCAGTCTACTTAGATCGCTCCTAACGGCCTCTACTAAAACTTTCACCAAGCCACAATGGCATCTTGTAGGCCGATCCTCGTTACCCTATCATGGCACAAAAGACTGGCTAATTATAATAAAGCAAGAGTATATGCTCAATCTGGCTGTCCTAGCTACCTAAAATATGAGACGACGATCTGGGTCCTAGTCATCAAATTCATTTTAAGGGTGCAGTGTCCTGTAGATGCTGCGGCGGAACATTTGCAAGTGTTAAGTTTCGGTTCCCTGCAGCTTGCAAGTTTCCGATGAGGTTTCTAATCTGCTGGCTCTCCTCGGTGGTGAGCTTGACGTCTAATGCGCCAAGGTTCTGCTCGAGATACTTGATATTCCTGGTCCCTGGAATAGGGAAGAAATCATCTCCTTGAGCCATAATCCATGCCAGCACCAACTGGCTTGGCGTGCGACCCTTCTTCTCTGCGAAAGCTTCGAACTTCTTGACCAACTCTAGGTTCTTCGGGAAGTTCTCCGGGCTGAATCTTGGAAACACCTTGCGGTAGTCGTTTGGATCGAAATCGTCCCGAGACTTGTAGCGCCCGGTCAAGAAACCGCGACCAAGGGGTGAGTAGGCGACGATGGCAACCCCTAACTCTCGACAAGTAGCAAGCAAGTTGGTACCCTCCTCGCTTTCAATCTCGAGCGACCATGGGTTGTATTCAATCTCCACGGCCGAGATTGGGTGCACGGCATGAGCACGTCGGAGCGTACTGGAGGAACACTCAGACAAGCCGAGATATACAATTTTGCCTTCCCTGTTTCATGAAATTAGTAACCCTACCTAGCAGTTGGACAACTTTGGGTGCTTACTCCTTGAGCTTTGCCATAGCTTCTACGGACTTCTCAACCGGGGTTACATCGTCGAAGCGATGGCAATAAAACAGGTCTATACTGTCAACTCCCAGACGTTTCAAAGAGAGTTCGCAGCTTTTAATGCAGTTTTCGGGTGAACTGTCGACGAATACGACCGGGTTGGAGCCACCGCCATACTCGAGTGCCCATTTAGTAGCCAAGAAGATGTCGCCTCGGCGTTCTGGGTGCAGCTTAAACCACTTGCCCACGAGATCCTCGCTGTCGCCGTAGGCAAGTGCGCTATCCCAAAATACCTCTCCGAGCTCCCAGGCTCTGTCGAGAATTTTGAATCGCTCTTCATCGGGACTCTTCATACGGTTGGTCTATAAGTTGGCATTGTTCTTGGATTGGTTTAACATACGCTATTTCGCCTACTCCAACACTTAGGCCCATCAAGCCGAACCCAAGCTTAGGAACATGAGGACCATTCTTGCCTAGTTTGCTAGTCGGAAGCGTTCGAGGGGGAGGCATAGTGTGAATAGGGTCTAGATCGAGAAATTGCTTTCAAATTATGTCCCAAATCAAATATTCAAGTTCTACCTGCTGGGGGTTTGGTCTTTGCTATCCACTATCCATCAAGGGCACAAACCTCGAGGAGGGAAGCAGGTATTTATATCTAACATCCGGTCCTCAAAATGACGAAAATACCCCCAGCGTCCATACTATGGCACCTTAGAGACAGTCATTTTGACAGCATGTATATGACGACTTGAGCCGGCGATAAAGCACTAGAGCCGCAACGTCCTAGGTTCCGTCCGCAACGACCCGCAATAACCCGCCACCATACTCCGGAAATACTCACCCAACTAACTAGAGTATTTATGATATTTACAGCTCAGCTCTTAAATCATGTAAGTTTGTGACTTTTGTAGTATAATAGTCGTGACTTAAGTCTTAGTTCGGGGTCCGCGGACGCCATGACCGAAAACAGCAAGTCGGCTGGTGTGTTAAAAGTACGGCGCATAAACTCCGTAAGGGGGTTTGTTTTATAGGTAGGTAGTCATGCAATATTAGAGGTAATGAAGGCTTTCTTTAAGGCATGAGAACTTACCCAGAGTTCAGAGTATTCTTGCTATAAACAACAGCCCTCTTATCTCACTATTCGTGCAATATATGTATCATTCAATATTATGAAACAGTTCTAAAATGTGTTAAATAGTACTGTCATGAGGTTACTCCATGTATCGGTCGAGATATGAAATATCCCCTTAATGTGGTATAACTAGTAAAAATCTTAGCTCACTTTTTATGGGATCCCCCCTTTTGTTATGCGGCCTGAAGATGTTTTAATATTGGTGCTTTAAGATAGGCTGTCGTAGAGATTATGATTACATTTGCTTCTCAGCCCTATCGTAACGAGTAGATAGTTTTCAAATCACTAATAATGCGTTTATGATCCCGTTATGATCCCGTTGTTTATATGTAGAAAACAAAGACCAAATATTTGCGAGTTCATATTCCCTGTGTGAGGGGAAGTCATGTCTGAGCTTCTTAGATAATTATCTAAATTCTATATGCTATGTCTCGATATAAATGCGCCGCCCATGCCATAACCATTCCTATGTCTATTCAAAGGGTGCATATCTGATCCCGCGGTAAGTATATAATACGGTTGCTTTAATGGATCAAATCACCATGGATTTCCATGAAATATATTCTCAAGTATGGTCTGGTATGGCTAGGCCTAAAGCCCTCCGACCTCCATATCGACAGACGTCTAGGTGCTGAGAAAGACTTCCCAGAACGAGCGTGTATTATTATTACGATGCTCTCTCTGAAGTCTTCTGACCAAACCTAACTGATGCGCGCCAGCTGAAACATTGTCTCCATCTGTTTGAGACTAGTAACAGAATTTGGTATTGGTTTCGAACCCTATACGGGGAGGCGGCAGGTGGGTCGAAGCTAACATTGCGTATGGCATTGTATGAGTAGCCCGCGACGTCCAGTCCTTAGGTCCCTGACCTATTGTATAACATATATATATATATGTAGATGAAGGCAGATAGACTATATCCCCACCATGTAAATCAGTTGATGGGATTTCTCGCGCTCCTTGGCAAAACGTCGGCGCGGCAATTTTAGTTTCGAAGTATTCGAACGATCGATAATTCATTCATGCATATTCTTTCCGTTGCCAACCACTTTGTACTAGGGGAAGTTCTGGTTGCGACTGATCTTGGTATCCATCCTCAAGCGTTGGAGACAGCCACTCTTCCCTCCTGCGATTTTTAGTGAACATTCGCGGTCCGCATTGTGCAAAGAGGCAGATAATCGACAAAAGGATAATAGTTGAAACGGCCGCGACTGCGATGGCGACGAGAAAGTCCTTTAAGAAGTTGCCGTTGACGGTCATCGTACCCGCTGCGTCGGACATCTTGCTATATATTCGGGATCACCAGAGGTTTATAGGCGAGGGTGAAGAAGAGTTCAGACTACTAAGCAGTGATGCTGAGACGAAAAGGATACAATTGAAGTTGGATGATGAATAAATAAACAAGATAAATAAGTAGTATGTAAGGTGTCAGCAAGGCCACTTTAACCAGGCAGTGATGTGGATGTCTCTTAGACTTCGTTTAATGCTCTTTGTATAACGAAAACGGGTATAAAGCAAGCGGCGTAGGATATATCTTCAAAGAATTCAGTTTCGAACAAAGGTGAGATCGATTATTACAAGTAGCTAGCCGACCACGGGTGATAGTCTACCTATGTATAAGTCAATTTCTGTTCTAATCACGCCCGCCTTAGAGCCCCCGAAGCGCACGTCTCGCATATAACTACATTCGCAAAGTCCTACATGGATCCGAGGCAACCGAGTTGACAGCGGGTATGTCCCTAGAACAGGAATGGTAGGACGGCAGCAGTGTCGTCTATATAGCGCTAGGCGAAACGCGCGTTTGTATATTTATGATTGGTTCTAATTGATTCTGCTGTGAGACACAGCCCAATCTTCAATTGGTATACAGTGTAAGGCTATGTGCGGAGGATCAGCTGGTTCTATAAATAGACGCCTAGGAAGCGCTGCCGGGTTAAGAAGACAAAACCAACAAACCAACAAATCGTTACCTGGATTAACTATTCAATTAATCAGTTGGATGTATTATAAATTTTATAGGATCTTATTAAATTCGTAAATACTAATTCGTTTAATATAATAATTATTCGGAAGAATCTGTCTCGTACCTAGACTTAGACTTAGACTTAGACTGGAGGTAGAAATCTTATGAGTTAAATAGCCTATGTAATGAAGGCAAGAGACATGTGGATTATGACCAACACTCGTTTTGCCAGTGGTCTCTTTCTAACTGCCTTACTGGGTGAACAAAGTGGCACAGGCGGTTTCACCGCATTCTTCATCGCTGGCCAACAACACCTCGCACTTAAGTTATATGAAACAAATGTTGGTAAAAGAGGAGGATGATTACTATGACAAGACCAGCTCGCCAATGTTTGCTGCCTGGCATTGTTGTGGCGCTGGGCTTAGACGACTGATCGGATGGTTGAAGTCTTATATGTGGCACGCCTCACATGCTCACTTGCATAGGTACCTAATGTATGTAAGTAAGGGCATTTCGAAAGAAGTTTTCTCTTAGGGTTGTTAATATAAGTTTTATTCGAATAGTATTCTATACAAATCAATTAGATCGTCTTTTGAAAGCCAGCAAAACAAGTAGTAACTAACGTTTAAATCTGGATAGTTATAGATTTTGTATCAAGATTAGGTTCTAATGGCGTAATAGCTGCAGAAAGTCGTCTTCGTAGACCCGCTGTAAATCTGGAAATGGGCTTCGCTTATCGCTCATGTACCTGGCAATTTTGCTAACGAAAGAAGAGAACCCACGTGCTGCATTAACGACTGGTCAAGAGATAATGTCCTGTGACGTCATGGGCGAAACAGGTACGAAATAGTGGGCAAAGGTCCTTTTGCGACGTCAAACATCAATTCTATGGATCATTTACATAGTCCGCCAGCTTTCTAGAGCTGCGCAAGGTAAAGGTAAGTAAACTCATCCGTATAAGTAATTAACTAGGTTAGGTACCTAATAAATAACTAATTAGAGAACATCGTGATAAATAGAGCGCGATGAGCTATGCGTTTAGAGCGTGTTCGCAGTTGACAGCCTCGAGCATACGGCAATTTGCTGGCTGTCGTCTTGGTAATACTTATACTATTCATACTTATACTTCAACTTTAAAACCGCCAAAGAAAGCAAATCCGGTGGTGCCTTCGTCGTATAGATATCTTGCAACTACACAGCACACGAGAAAACAGAAGCTTGAAGATGAGGCGACAAGGGAAACAAACAAAAAAGACCAAGCGGCGTATGAGCAAGAAGTAAAATTCGGAATTGAAGATGCTACGAAGCAGCAGATCAAACGTCCCTGGCAGAGGGAGGGCGCCGACGAGCCTCCCGTCAGCGAGTCGAGGCGGACCATGAATAAGACCATGACCAAGGGTATTTATTCCACATGTTCCATCGGCCTTCAAACGATCCAATGGACTAATAGCAATCAACTAGGCAAACTACTGACCACTCCAACCCGACTCCTAAAACTGATCCTACCCCTCCCCGTCGACGCGACCCACGACGAGCATGGCAACAAAGGGGAATTCCGATCCCTCGCCCAAAACGAAGACATCCAACCCCTAGCCCTGCTCGTCCACCCCCAACAGCCCCTATCCTACCTCGAGCGCCTAATCCAAGCCGAGCTCCCGCCAATCCGCGACAGCGACGACCGCGAGAAGATGCCCAGCGTGTATTTCCTAGCCGAGGGGTCCGAGCGGGACGAGACCGGGCGCAAAATCGGGATCGGCCAGGAGAAATCCAACATCGCGTCGTACTCGGGCCTCGGCCGCGAGGGCGCCGACACCCCCGCCGAGCACAAGGACTGGGTGCGCTGGAGCAGCTCCACCGAGATCGGCGACTTCATCCGCGACGCCGCGCGCGGCCGCGAGTTCGCCATCGAGATCACCGGTCACGGCGCCGAGATGCGCGTCGACGTGCCCAGCTTCAACGACCGCACGCACTACATGCGTGTTCGCCTGCGGCGCATGTCCCACAAGATCGAGGAGCTTTCCAAGATCAAGCACGAGTGCGACATGCTTGCCCATCGCGGCGTCCATCGAATCGCCAAAGCCGGATTCGTCGTTCTGTCGGGGTGGTGGGGCGCTGTCTACTTCCTGACCTTCCACACTGACCTTGGCTGGGACTTGATGGAGCCTGTAACGTATCTCGCCGGCTTGAGGCACGTCATCTTGCCCCTCCACTAAGAATCAGTTACTGACCCCTGAGCAGTACTATGATGGGCGGTTATCTGTGGTTCCTGTTCATCAGCCGGGACCTGAGCTACCAGGCCGCGCTCAATATTACCGTTTCGCGGAGGCAGAACATCCTATACCAGGAGCGCGGGTTTGACCTGCAGAAGTGGGAGAATTTATTACACGATGTGAATGCGCTGAGGCGGGAGATTAGGACCGTGGCCGAGGAGTATGATGTCGATTGGGACGAGATGACGGATCTCGGCGGGGCGGATGTGAAGGAAGTACTTGAGCACGAGGAGAGGAAGGTCGAAGGTAATCGCAAGCAGGAGGATAAGGATGACAAGGAGAACGCGAGACATAAGTCGGATAAAAGCGATGAGTCATGATACCGGCCGGATACACATAGAATATAGCTGTAGAGCAAAGCGTAGTTCATTCCAATCGAGATCAAGTTTGAAAATCTCGTACTATGTAATGTAATTTTATGTAACGCGCGTAGAAGGCAAAATTCGGATGAGAAGACCAATTTTTGTCTATACCTATTTTGTTTTCCTTTTCTGGTCATCCGCCATAAGAATTACCCCTGAGAAAAACGTGGAGTTTTGACCTTTGTCCTCCTGGGTTCACCGAATAGAAACCTCTTGACCGGTAGGAGTTTCACAGGATTAGGCATTAATAATTTGTCTCAAGACCTTGATCTGTTCTAGAACGGAGTCCTTGCTAGTGCCGCCCTTGGCAGATCGCATCTCGACGCTGCGCTCGTAGTCAAAAGACTCGGCGATATCCTTCTCGAAACGGGCGTCGACCGATTTGAGCTGGTCGTACGTGAGCTCGTTCATGGGGGTATCGGTTTGCTCAGATAGGGCGACCACGCGGCCCGAGATGTGGTGTGTCTCGCGGAATGGTACGCCCTTGCGGACGAGGTAGTCAGCAATGTCGGTGGCGAGCATAAAGGGGTCGAGAGCGGCTTGCATCTTCTCAGGTTTGATGGCGAGTGTAGCCAGCACGCCCGTCGCGATCTGCACGCTGTCGCTAACCGTCTTGACCGTGTCAAGCATGGCCTCCCAGCTCTCTTGCAGGTCCTTGTTGTACGTGCTAGGCAGACCCTTAAGGGTCATCATGAACCCAGCCATCTGGCCGAATACGCGACCGCTCTTACCCCGCAGTAGCTCTAAGCTATCTGGGTTCTTCTTCTGTGGCATAAGCGAGCTGCCAGTCGAGTACGCATCGGCTAGCCGCACGAAGCCAAATTCGGCGGTTGAGTAAAGGATCAAGTCCTCAGCCCATCGCGACACGTGCTGCATGAGCATTGACGCCCACTGCAGGGTCTCTGCTACAAAGTCTCTATCCGCTACTCCGCCCATCGAGTTCCACAGTAGCCCCTCGAAGCCTAGCTCCGCGGCTATCATATCACGGTCGATGTTGAACGGGTTACCAGCAAGAGCGCCGCATCCCAGGGGACTCCTGTTGACGCGCTTGACGACCTCGCGTAGTCTCTCTAGGTCGCTAGCGAAGGCTAAACTGTACGACATCACCCAGTGGCTCCAACGAATGGGCTGGGCACGCTGCAGGTGTGTGTAGCCAGGCATGACGTGGTCAACCTCACTTTCGGCGCGGTCGGCAGCGACTTGAAGGAAGGTCACGATGTGGCCTTCGATCTTGCGCAGCTCGTCCCGCAGCCACATACGCATGTCGCATGCGACCTGCTCGTTGCGACTACGCCCAGTGTGGAGCTTGCCAGCCACACCTTTACCGATGATCTCGCCTAGACGGCGCTCGTTGGCAGTGTGTATATCCTTTTTTTATAAACAATTAGTTGCTTTCCCTTCTCTAGGCTCGATTTGAGGTTCTAAGCAGGAGCACAGGTACACACCTCATCTACGCCAGGTATAATGACAAACGAGTCATTATCCCACTCTTTCATAACAGCCCGGAGACCCTCCTCAATCTTGTTGAATTCATCTTCTGTTATGATGCCGCCATTCTTGTTAGCCCGGGCGAAGGCGATGCTACCCAAGATGTCTTGCTTGTAGAGCTTCTTATCAAAGTGGATACTCTCGTTGTAAGCCACCATGAGAGGGTCAAGACCGCCTGGGACAAGAATTAGTATACCAAGTCGAAAACGCAAAGTTGGAAGTGAGTGTTTCTCCTTGTCACAACATTTGCAGATGAACTTGCGAGAACTTGGGTGGCACCCGTGGAGAGTGTTGCACGATAACGAGCAACGAATACAAGGTATTACACGTACCAGTGAAGCGGCCTCCCCATAGCATGTTCTCACCGGGTTTGGTACTAGACGCCATAATTACCGATGTTTGCTTAGAGAATAATTTAAATTTGATAGTATTAATCAAACCGTGTTTGTATGTGAAATAGTTGGGTGACTCATGAGAAAATTGCTTCGAAGTCGGGGTTTTCTTATCAAAACGAGAGACCTAAAAATTAATTCACCCCTCACATAGGTATATATCAATTGTTGCATATCTCCCCACCACCCCACCTCTCCACATTAAGATATGTAGGTAAATATAAGATCGAAGCGGGGTTATGCGTAGAATCAATATTGAAATAGGGCTGTTAAGCTGAAAAGTTTTATCCCGGTTTTTTCCTCACTTTTCTTTTTTTTCTAGCTTCGGGATCTTTTAAAAATAGACGCAGGTCTAAGTTGCCTCCTAACTATAACTAATACATACATAATATTGCTAACTTACCCGATCACCTCCATTTCGACGAGAAGAAAATGAGAAGAAAATGCCCTATCTCACTATAACCCGAGGGTTCAAAATCTTCCGTTATGAAAAGATACCCTAGGTAAATAGATGCGTTTACTCCCACGGTAATACAATATCTCTTAATAATAATAATTTCCTCATTGGATATCTATAACTTGGTATGACACACGCCACCGTTTCTCTTATCTCTTAGGGTTGTGTATACCTCGGTACATTACGTATAAGTCACGACGATGGATACATGCGGCTGTCAGGATTATCAGGGTCGGGGAGGGAAGAATCTGGGGAAAGGGGAAAGGGGAAATTCCAGATCAAAATGACCCCAAGACGGGGCCATTCCCAAGACGGGCCATTCCCAAGACCACGAATAGCCCTAAAACTAATACCACTAACCTAACACCACAATCCCCTGATTCTCCCCCCCTCATGACAAGACAAGTTTTTAAACAGGGAGACTCCGTAACCGCAAACCGCAAATCGCAAACTGCAAACTGCAAACTGCAAACTGCAAACTGCAAACTGCAAACCGCAACCCCCCGCTAACTACCAAACATACCTAGGTACCTATACTGTTGCTTTTCCACGCGCCAAGTCAAGTGGTATGACGTTTCCTACAAGTTAACGAAACGGAGTCGCCGTTTGTAATCTGTTGGTATTATGTAGACGTCGTCCCACATTGGTTATCAATGACATCGGTTAGGTTAGGGACTTACTTTTATCTTTTCTTTCGCCTTCCGCAGCCTCTTACGCTTTTACGCTCTCACGCTCTCACGATGAAATCTTATTGACTCTTCTCGGACTCATCCGTCACATGAGCACGACGTCTGTTGGACTACCCATTTTAGTACTTAAGTGGTATCAGTGAATCTATTGTGCCGAAATGAGGGATAATCCCCGCCTCATATAGATTTCACATTCGACATAATTCCAACGTAGTATTAACCTCAGCCTACCTAAGTTTCACACTCCAACCTATCTCAAAGCAAATGGCCCCGTCTATTGTTCATCTGCCAGACGGCCAGAGTTTCACGGTTCAGCCTGTATTCTCTGGCTTATTCTTCAAGTCTAACGAGCTCAATCACCACCACGGGCCATTCCCTGTTGGTTGGACTGTCGTTATACATAGTGAAGATCATCCTGAAGATCACCTCCAGGATCTCACCCTTAAAGATGCCGCGAATGAGCCCCGCTCTAGGCGCAGCCATATTCACAAGTACAACAAGCCGACCTTGCAAAATGACACTATTTTCATCTCATCCATCTCGAATCCCCCGAGTAGCGAATATAAGCCTCCTGCCAGCCAGTCCCGACAGATAGCCATGTTTTTATGGGTGACGCTGTACTGGTATTTCCAGCAGCCCGAACCATCACCATATGTTTTAACAGAACAGTCCAAGTATGCCCCCCCGGAAGCAAGACCTAGGGGCGAGTGGCGCATCAGAATTAAACGGGAGGGTGTCCTACGCACGCGGAACATGATACCGAAACTGGAGAGGATGGGCCTGATATCAAGCCTGGACTCTGCTGTCGGAGAGAGTTCTAGTGAGAATAACCATGGATGGGACAAAATGTTTATTACTCGACGAGCATTCTGGCAAATCCACAGCGGCCTATTTCTTTTTACCCTGCAGCCCTTGAAGCACAGCTCGTCGTATCCTGGATCGCCTAGTAGCAGCCGGCCTACTTCCCCAGTTAGAAGCGACGCAGGCCAGCTGGCAACATTGTCCAACCAGCTAGCTACGGAGGCGCCATCTTCCCCCATCGGGCCATATCACTCATCCTCTCACCTCCCAACCTTCTATCCTCCTGCACCATTGCAGTACATAATAACGAACAACGTCCGGCATCCGCTGCGACAGAAGCCACCGCACATGGGAGAGATCTTTTATACTCGCTTCGTACCTAGCGTGGGGAAGTACCTATCATTTCGCGTAGCATCCCTCTCGCCAAAACCCATCCCCTGCCTTGGACCTATGGGACCTGCCGAGCGGGAGAATACGCACCTAGATACCTTATCCGACACCTCACTCCTTCAGATGTGGCTTTCTAGCCCCAGAGTCCAGGCCTTCTGGGGCGGATACCAACCTAACTTTCTCTCGAACGCTCTTCAGTCGCGCCATTCATTCCCGGCCATCGGGATGTGGGACGGCGTGCCCTTCGGATATTTCGAAATCTACTGGGTTAAGGAGGACAATCTAGGACGTTACATGGGCAACGACGCGCAGGACTTCGATAGAGGCATCCACGTGTTGATTGGCGAGGAGTGGGCGAGAGGAAGAGTCCAGCACTGGCTCTCGAGCATCGTTCACTGGTGCTTACAGGCAGACTACCGTACGATGAATATCTGCCTCGAGCCAAGGGTTGATAATACGAAGTGAGTCTTACCACCACCAGCGCGGATGTCCGCCGGTTTGTTAATACGTGCATAGATTCATTCAGCACCTCCAGAACGGAGGCTTCGCGAAAGAAAGGGAAATATCTTTCCCTCATAAACGAGCATGGCTCTGCCGACTTAGGAGAGACGCGTGGGATGGGCCGTCCATGTGAGGATATTTGCGGAAGGATGATTAATGATACCAATTTCATTACGATTGCATTCGGTGGCGCATTGATAACGACATTAGACTCGGAGCGGGCGCGGCATGCATTTATTACGAGAGGCACTGATGCATGTGCATGGCGGAGAGAGCGAAAGGCTTAGATTTGAACTTTTTTTTTTCTTCCAACCGGATTTCGACTTTGTTAGTACCACACGATCTTCTACGAGACAGGGCTGGCATGGGATTTGCCCCAAGATGGACTCCTCCCCGCCATACATCATACACGCAGATGTTTTCTAAAATCAAGCAAGTGTTAAGACGCAACCTAGGCATATTAGAAGTTGTCAATACAGGTATTCAAGTGGCAGAATAAACGTTCGCAACCCGATTTCCAGCTTTAGACGTTTTCGACATGTGGCTTGTAAACCTGTGCTTGCTTGCTTGCCTTGATTCGTTTACCGGAATCCATAAAACGTACCATATGTAAGTTCCCGATTCACTCTGCTTAAGCTCGGGACCGAAATGGAAAATCAAGCTAAATTGGTGGCACGGCTGGTTCTGGATCATTGACCTCATCGATAGGTTTATGTGTTGCCCCCTTGTTTCACGCTGCGCCCCCCATAAGCTATCACATATACGGTATATGAAATACCTGGAGACTCGGACCAGCTTTGTCCGGTCGTAATATGAACTCGCCGATTGTATTTACAGCTAGAAAGCATACACGGCAGATGTGTAGGTATCAATAGAATCTTAATCACCACTAAACAAAGGCTCTGAAGAGCTAGGTTGTATTGGTGGCTTGGGTTAGTTCTAGGGATATCCGGACCAGCCAGAACTTTATTAATATCCGTTTCTACAAGCCGTTTGCACTTCCAGGAATCTAGTTGTCCTTCTATCCTTAATACTCTCCTCTCACAATTCCCCCTGGCTCCTCATCGTTCGGGTAATAGCAGCCGCCATGTCTACCGCCCCACGCACTATCCTCGTCGTCGGCGCTACAGGCCAACAAGGGGGCTCAGTGCTCGCCGAGCTTTCCCAGCAGCTCTCGATCGCACCCGAGGCCAAGGTCAAGGTCTTCGCACTAACCCGGACAGCTTCCTCGCCCAAAGCACAGGCCCTGCCGTCCAAGTACCCCTCCCTAGACCTAAGCGTTGTAGAGGGCGACGTCCAGCATCCCGAGCCCATATTCAAGGCTCATCCAGACATCGATACCGTGTTCAGCTACACGACGCCGCCAGACGAGGAACCGCAAGCTACACGCCTTGTCGATGTAGCGTGTGCGTACGCCACGCCCGAGAAACCAACGCACTTCGTCTTTTCGAGCGTAGATCGTGGCGGCGAACCAAGGTCGTGGGACACTCCTACTGATGTCCCGCATTTTGCGCAGAAGCACAATGTTGAGCTGCATCTGCGCACCGTCGCCGAGGGCTCGGATGGTAGACTGACTTACACGATATTGAGGCCTGTCGCTTTCATGGATAATCGTAAGTGACTACTTCCCTTGAAAATGTAACCACTTATCTCCAATCCATTCCTTATTCCCTCGAGCTTCTCACAAAGGAGTTATCATACTGTACCAGCGCACAGCTCTCAACCCCCCTTTTGCCATCTACCTACCTACCCCTCATAAACCCCCCACCGCTCAAGCAGCCACCATTCTAACCACCCCCACCCCCTCCCTCCCAGTGAACCCAGGCGGTACATTCGGCATGGTATTCGCCAGCCTCTGGAGCACCATGTCCGCGTCGCGCAAGCTGCAACTAGTCAGCGTGCGCGACATCGGCGTCTTCGCCTGCAAAGCCCTCCTGCAGCGCGCCGACCCGCGTTTCCGCAACCGCGCCGTCGGGCTCGCAGGCGACGAGTTGACGCTCGAGGAGGCGCGTGCCATATACGCACGAGTAGCGGGGGGGTCTCCGCTCCCGCAGGCGTGGACGCTGGTCGGGTGGGCGGTGCGCGGGCTGGTGGCGCGCAACGTGGGGTCTATGTTTCGCTGGTTCGAGACGGAGGGGTATGGCGTCGATATCGACGCCCTGAGGGCTGAGGAACCGCGGGTGCAGAGTTTGGAAACGTGGTTGAGGGAGAGTAGTAAGTTTGAGTTTGCGAGCGGGGAGGAGAGGGATGGATGAGCTGTCGTTGAGTTGTGAGAAGAGAGAGTGTGTGTGCCTTGCTCTGTCGAGGATGGCTACCTAGGGAATGTGGAAGATTGCCTTGCCTGGTGCTGAGGCTAGTCGGCAGATGATTCCTAGAATCTATCTGTTTGACGTCAGTATGGATTAATAGTAAATTTTATTGCGTATTTGCTATTGCTAATCAGTATCGCGTGCATGCTATAGTCAAATATATAATCCTAGAGTAATGATCACAACCTCGATATCGTATAGGTTAATAATGATCGTATAGCAATGAGTATGCCGTTTTCATATTTCTACTTCACATCCAGAGCGTGTGATTTTATCTTGTTTACAGTCGACAGATATCTAAGAAGCATACCTCCTTATTTACGCCCTGGGATGAGATTCTTCTCTGTCGACCTCTTCCATAGTTGATAGAGGAAAGGGATGACGCGGTCTTACTATTTTTTCTATCTTGCACTATTCCTACTACAGGACTTATTTTCGAGAATGTTGACAGCCTTGCTCTAGAGTATCATCTTCTGATTAAAATATGAGAATGATTAGGACAGGGTGGATTATGTACACTTCAGGTATTTTAGAACTGAGAACCTAATTACATAGGCTAGGTAATAATGCTAGAATATGTTGGACTCCATGTGAAAACTCTTGGTCTTACATCTACCTATTTACGTAAATGGTGCTTAATACTCACCGTTACGCCGTTAGCCTCCACTGCCATAGGTATAATGAAGATATATCGATAATTATGTAACTAGCTCGACAAAACATTTACACACATCAAGATAAGATGCGTCTCGTCTATAACGGTAATACTACTTCAATGTAAAGCCTCATAATAGTGATAAGTATTTAGTATTTGACGACGTTAACCTATAATCGTACTGGATATTAACGCATATATATACTGTAACTATTGGAGTACTACCTACTAGTATCCGCAGCTCTTTTTGGCATGACGAGACAAAGAAGCTAGCGCCCTACTGGGGGGGTTTTGGCTTACTAGTAACCTACGAATCCTCGTTATAGGATGCTTCGGGTTATACGGGTCTAGCTCTAGGTGTTGGGTATCGTGTTATCGCGTGTTTGTGGATCCGGAGTCCTGGCGTTCGAAGCTCGGCAGTAACGCAGACGGGCGAGAAAAGGGCCTAGGGTAGGGAGCCGAGGTGTCACTACGCATGAATTGCTTCATCTGTGAAAATCGTAAAAGATTACGAGCTCCTCCGTCCATACGGTTCGAATGGGAAAACCGCGCTGACAACCGCCATGGCAAGAAAAAGAGCTGCACATATATAAATCGGCACGACAGTGCCAGTGTCAGCAGTACTAGCGACAACCGCGGAGACAATACCCATTATACGATTACAACCGACTGCAATGCCGTTTCCTGTTGCACGATGGGCACTCGGTAGCACCTCAGGGGTATACTAAACCATTGAGTTAGTAGTTGCGCAATATAAGACGACAAGGCTCCAGCTTTAAATGACGAGTTTCCTCCTGGAACCATAGTTTCCTTCTCTTGCGCCTTTTAACCTAAAATATATACTTACTGCATATAAGGTTCCGTAGTAGATGTTGAGACAAAATGCAATAGCACAGCTAAACCCAACGTTTTGCGCTGGAGTTGACACAGCTGTGTAGGCGAAGAAAAACACCATCGTTACTAGCGCACCTATTACCATAGTGTACCTTCGGCCGAGGACTCTAAGGTTGCACATATATGCTGCTAGGATTGGCCCAAAGATGCCAGATATGTTTGTAAGTGTATAATTACGCCAGGTGTCGAAAGTTCCAACGCCTTCTAAAGCACCACGGCTGGCAAGATATGTGCTAATACCGAGTTAGATAAGAGTCCTACTTGGCAGGTATTTGAACATACTTCAGGAAGACGTAGAAAAGAGGGTAGCTAAAGACCAATGGTTAGCTTTCGCATTGGAGATGCAGACTTTCCAATCTAAACCTACGCAAGTCCAATCAATGTCCACGATAGCCAAATGAGCACGGTCGAAATGCCGATTTTCATCGTAACGAAAAGTCCAGATAGATGAACGAAACTCTCCTGAAGCGAATAGCGTTTCTCGCTATGCGCAGTCTTTACTGTCCCGCAAGCCTCCAAATTTTCCAACGTCAGCGTACAAGGTCGATTATATCTCTTGGCGATCGAATGCAGCGTCTCGACTAGCTCGGCATCTTCTCCGGTTCCCAAGCGGTACTTTGGAGTCTCTTGTAGACGAACAACGGTGACACGTGCAATAGACATGGCGAAAACGAGAGCTCCGGAAGTGTACATGACGTATCGCCACCCTTGGTTGGATTCTCTTGGACAATTATCGGCAGATTCACAATTCCACTGAGGCGGAACTGTATCCCATATGAGAACCTCGACAACTCATGGCTTTAGATCAAGCTCACCTAAGAAACCCCAGCATATGAAGCCCGTTACAGCTTGACCAATACCCCACCAGCAGGCCAAAAACGTTAGCGCCCACTGCTTATTGCTGGGGAGGTACTCGAGGAAGACAGTAGTATCTAATATCAAATTACCACCGGCTCCAAATCCGACCATGGACGTAAAGAAGCCTAGAGAGGCCCAATTAGGAGCCGCACCCGAAACAACGGTTGCTACGGCGGAGATGAAGAGAGATATGTTGAACGCCCAACGACGCCCTATAATATCGGCACCCATGCCCCAAAAGAGCGCCCCGACCAGCATGCCAACATATGTAGCAATCGTCTGGGCATTGTCATATCCGACCTGGCCAAACTCCTTGTAGGCCGGAATTGCTATGTTACTTTGGAGTAAGAGTACTAGGGAATCGACAGCATAACTATGAGGTCGCGTGAGTATTCGATAGCCTTTTAGTTTCGAGAGACGATGATATCTTACCCAAACCCGTTTAGAACGAACAACTTCCAATGATAATTGGTCCAACCAATCTCATCAATGGCCTGAAGTTCGTTAGTGATCTAGTCGTCAGCTATCGGCGACACTCGTGGGACTGGTCTCACGTTATTGACAAGGTGCATCTTCGCGTTAAGAGCTGGATCCAAGTCTTGTAGCGCCAGAATCTCTACGGCGTCGCCTATGGTAGAATCCTCGATATTTCCAACGTCTCTTTCAAAAATGCCGGGATCTTCTAGCCCTCCGTCGATTCTCTTTTCTTCTGATGCCATATTTGAATCGAGCACCTCCGCGTGCTAGTCCGATCTAAATTGGAATATTCTGCGCGAAAGGGACATAGGTGGGCAAAGCAATTCGGACGAGCGTAAGCTTATACGTGGGATATATATATATGGACGTGTTGCTCGAATATGATAGGAAGAAAAGATATGTTGAGGATAGCAATGGATCGTATCTTAGGTAGGTAAATTAACACGAAACAATGGGTGTAAATGTTAAAAACAGCAAACCGAAAGTTTTGACAATAAGTTTCGAGATCGAAATTGAGAGTCCCGCTAATAAGCGATTGACCAACTACGTAATAGCCATATCCGTCGAATATAGCTCGATGCCTCTTACCAAGAGATAAGACGAGGGATTCCTAACTAGGTAGGTAGGTAAGCAAAGATTTTCTATGGCGGATAGGGTTTAGGATAATAGTTTGTAAAGACAAAGTAGTATGAGCCCATGAGGCGTTCTTACCATACAGAGCTAAGGCTAAGCTGTGCTAGCACATACCTATATCTAGATTCAAGGTAGGGATCCCTCGTGCTAATCCCTCGTGCTACACAAATCCGACATTGATAGGCTCATTCGTGGGGGAAGACCTTGCTGTATCCCACGCCACACGTTAGCGTCCGCTGAAGATATCATGATCCACGGGCTATAGTAGCTGTAAATCAGGAAATCAGGGGTGGTTTCCATCCCATCCCGCATCCCAACCGATTGTTTTCTTTTCTTTTCCGACAGTATTGACTTTTAACAGTCCGGAGTAAGTCCAGACTATGCTCGGAGCTGAAGCAACCCAATACATGATAATTGTCTACTTGATCCCAGGCTCGAATTACAGGGATTTGCAGGGAAGATAGTTGAACATCCTTTCAACACCGAAGACCAGGGGTGGAAAGGATAGACAATAAAGTCAATGATATAATGACCTATAAGATCTCAAAGAGATGAAGAAAAGTAAAAGCAGTCTAAGAGCTTGTTTATTGTTTTATTAGTAGCGTTAGCTCATAGATCCGGACTGTGTAGTTACGTAATAACGTAATTTAACACACTGTACGGAAAGAATACATCCATACAGGTAGCTACCTCCTATGCATGTACAGCATACCTATGTACCTAAGGCGGGGAAAGGTAAGGGGGTACCTAAGAGGAAAGTGTTATGAGGTACATAGCTCTTATCATACAGCTTGCTCATTCTCTCATGTCTCGTTTGATTTAGATCCCATAGATAAAAGTCCTCAGGACCCATACATTACATTAGGTAATCTATCCGAATGTCAAATGGAAGTTTTCAACATATGACTTAATCCGGCTTGGGTCTGGCAATACATGTGTGATGGCCCAATGAGAATAGAGAAAGTACCCACGTTGTGAGGCTCTCTACTACATATTTCGGCAGGTTTACAGGTTCATCGGAAGGTATCTAAATGGCTTTCAATTAATAGAGAAGTTAAGCTCGTTAGAGCTCTCTCCAATCATGTTTTGTTGATTACTCTCAACCCTTCCTTCCTTCGTGTTCAATCTGCAGGCATGTCGGTATATTTTATAAGTGATGTCAGTTCGCCAGTGCATACGTCTAATACTTAACTACTTAAATACGATGGACAGAGGTGGTTTTTAAAGAGAACATTTCCCCATTCCTATCAAACGAATGGTAAGGAACCCGACCAGATATCACTATTCATCATGGTTTATAGTATTTGTTATCTCTTCCTTGTTGGTGCCGCTTCGGCCGCCTTCACCGGCAATTTAAACTACTTTTCTCCCTCGAGGCGTCATGCATCATTAGGCGTATCAATCAGTAAGGTAGCTAAACGGACCGCGG